ATTTTTGATTCGCGATTGAATAGAAGACAACTCTATTACGAAACTTGGTAAATATGGCCACTTGCTAACCAAATTGTCAGATTCGTGAGAGACAATAATAAGATACGAAACGGTTGTAATTTCATGATTAAGATTAATTACCTTGCAATTTCTTCTTCATCCAGCTGCAGTGTTTCTTCCTGACGGAACGGAAGTATCGTCAATTTGTCTCCAAAAAAATTCATCACGGCACACCTATTAGACGGATCTACCCTCAACTCGGTAGGACGTGTATTTGAAAGAAATTCTAACTGATAAATGAATTACAGAATTCTAAGATGATGAACTCGCAATCTTCCCCCTTGTTCTCTCTTTAATAGATTACCTTGAATTCTTCGCGCTCATAGTAATGAATAGATACTGTGACGATGCTATTCGTTGCCAACGAAAATTCCAAAAGTGACATCTTGAAGAGAAAAAAGAATATTGTCATGGAGATGTTTTTCTTGATTCAACATTCAATTTCATGCTTGTAAACTAAATCTACACACCTTAGCATCCTTGAAACTTAACAGCAGGCTGTCCATGCCATTGGCCCCAGAAGAGATCGTTCGCACAACTCCCATGGATGTTATATTACCATGAAGCTTATACTGTGCGACGAGATCAAGGTAGCCAGTCATGGTTAATGGATTTTTAGCCGGTTTTAGTGTTGGGATGGGGAAATTCTATTTCAATTGTTTCAGATTTTTACCGCCACATGATACAATACAAAGAGGAAAGTTGGTATAAGAACACGAAAGTTTTGACCCAGATTTTACTAATAGCAAAAAAAAAAAAAAACGATAATGATAATGATTTTTTATTTATTTCATTTATAGTTGAAAAAATTTTACACTTTATTTTGGCTAAGGATTGAATCGCGAATACTATAAAACAACAGTTTCCTAGTAGTGTCTATAATCTATGTGTGCATCCACAAAGAGACTACGAACTCCTCGACTCTGATGAATTTCGTGAAAAGATGCATTCATCTTTCATCTGACAATGTACAGCTAATCTAATATCTCTGGATTCTCCTTGGTCCATTCAACTGTCCAGAACCAACTACCTGCAGGAGTAGCTTACAACTCATAATTTCATCAATGTCTACACGACATACAACCGCTCTCCTTTCACTTATGCTTATGATATACAAAATTAAGGAGCTTTCTCACCTGATCGTCGTCCTTATCGTAACCTTGGAGCAAGCTGTTATCATCCTCCCCCGTCGCCTCCTCCGTTATGGTTTCAGCTCGCTCAACAAATTTATATATTTGTAAGACCGACGTCCGTGCAACTATAACATTTACATCCTTGGGCGAAGTAAAATTTGCACAAACTACTTCTTCAACATTCGTGGGTGGAAAAATTTCTTTATATAGGGGATATATAGACATTGTTGTACCAGCGTTGTTTGAGCACAAGATTGTTTTTTTTTTAATATTGAAAAAAAGTTGCATCAACTGCAATCAATGTCATACAATCTGCAGATCATCTATCTGTGATAAATTTTTAATCTCGAAAATTATCTTTCTCCGTTTTCTGATAACACGAAATGATATCCCGTCATTTGTCGAGGATTTTCAGGGTTAGCTTTCATATACTTTGAGGTTTGCATGCTATTCTTTTTTTTACTTATAATAGTATCATTAAAATTAATGACTTCGGTTTAGACTGCAACTTCTCCAAATTTCATTGTTCCCACGCGGAAATATGCAAGCCAAACGAAAGTTCCACTTTCCAACCTTGAACCTGACAAATTCATAAATTATGAAAAACTCGAGAGTAATCTGGCTATAGTAAAGAAGAGGCGAGTTTTTTTTCTTGATAATATCGAAACCTATGTTGAAGAAATTGTCATGTTGAATATTAAACTTCTTTTATTCTTTTCATTCTAGGCTTGGTCGACCCTTGACATTTTCGGAAAAGATCGTTTATGGCCATTTAGATG